CCTTTTGAGTTGAATCTTGTTGTGATTATGCTGCTGGTTGAAGCTGTTTTTCACTACATTAGGGCTTAGACTGCCACTGATGACATCACGATAGCTACTTATTGCCTCAGTGTGTTCATGGTTGTCGTCTGAGTGACCAGACGGGAGTAGATTACTGACTCTCCAGTTGAAAATTTTGACAGTCCTTATCCATTCCATCTGGTCTCACGGATTTCGAGCACTTCTATCCTATATCTTCGTATTTCTTTGGCTACGTGGGCAGTTTTTTTAGCTTCGCACAATGTGCGTGTACCCCTTATCCCCATGCTTACTTTCGCTTTCATCGAAAGAGGACACTCCTGCTGAGTGGCTTGCACAAGTCGTTTGTTTTATTTGGTTTCTCGATTCCAGAGAAAAATAAGATCAGTTTTTATGTTGTCAATTTTTATGTTGTGCTTTGAAGTTTCTTAAGTGATTAGATTGATTTTGTGGGGTAGGCTCGCTAGCGCCACGCCCATCCTTTTCTCTTGATGTGACCGTGGGACTGGCTAGAAAACTAGCGAGCTAGTCGGCTAGACGAGGTTACCTAGTCAGATAGTGACATCAAATTTGTAATCAGGGATATGAAAGATAGCCAAACAGGGAGCAGAAAACACGGCAAAGGAACTCTTCTTGGGTCGAGATACGTTCATTGAGAAAAATGAGAATGGATAACTCTTTGCAGACTTCTGCATCTTTAGTGGTTTGGTCAGCAGAGGCAGTGTTAACAGGCACAAAGATGTACACATGACAAAATAGGTCTCGCCAGCTGAACACACCAAAATTCAGATAAACTTCATCTCACTCCCAAGAAGTGGGAGATGTAGCTTAATAGACAGAACATTGTAGGCCCAAACTACTACCTAGTGGAAGTTACTTTCATGATCAAGGTTAAAGCCTTTAAAGGATTAAAAATCAAGTTCAACACTCCCAAGATGTTATATTTAGGAAAAGTTGCAGACATTATGTAACACTACTCAGGAAATCTGTATGGAAAAACAATGTATTTTTGTGGAAGCGTCTTGGAAGGAAATCTGCATACAAATCTAAGTCATGGAGAAGAAACACGACAAGGATAGCTTAGATCAGATACCTGGAGAGGAGAGATGGATGGTAAACCAGTTTAGTGATGAGTAGGGACTGGTGCACACCTTTGCCTCCACTAGCTGGTTGTAAACCTGGCAAAGAGGGAATGCTGATCGTGAGGCTAGCAACCCCACTTCTTAAAAAAAACACTGTTACTTAAACTCCAAAATGCTAGCTTGAAGCCCTATGTTCCACTCGGAAAGCAAAGGAATAAAGCAAAATAATAAAAAAATACCAAAGGTGGATCTGAGTACAACATGTAAAGTATGAAACAAAAGAGGACAAACGACATTTTTGCGGCATACTGGCAACTGAATCACGACACGTTGCGTGTTGGAGAGATCTCACAACCCTGTAAACACAGAGAAAATCAGTAGAAGATAGTAGAGGAAATCTAATTAGCAAAGTGATGCAACAAAAGAAACCTACGGCTGATAATTCAAAGGACTCCTGAGTGCACCATTACCTACAACTCTAACTAACTGTTAAAGTCTTCATGAACTGATTCCAGGTTTTGACTTGTCCATCACTAGCTCTTTTCCAACCTAGTCCTATGTCAGCTAACATTTCTCGACGAGGGTGGCAGTGACTCAGCATACTTACAACGTGTCTCAGCCATCTCAATAGAAGTGACTTCACAAACTAATAAATTCATACCTAATACTGTGTGCCTAACCTAAGTATTGCTTGTATTATATCACATAACATCTGTGATCAGAGACGAGACACCTAACCTTTTTCATCTCTTCCACTTTCAATGGCCGTGTCTCCCAGACATAAGAGGGACACACGTACTTTGATCAATAGCCGGATATCACGTCTAATCCATAGATGACGTGAGTCAGTAAATGCCAAACAGGCCTTTTGTATTCGTGATTAGATTTCACCAGTGACCAGCCCGTTGCAACTTCCCAGATGGCTGGAGTAGTCAACATCCTCCACCACCTCACTCCCTATCTTTAAACTGGAAGTCAATGCATCACCTTGCAAATGACAGGAGGGAATCGCATGCCAAACATTATAAGATTGCTGTTCAAGGTGTTCAGAATGCTATTCATTTTATCAGCGGGGGACAATATCAACAGCAAAACTATTCCTTGCTATCTCTCGGTCGCTGAAGTCATTTAGGGTGACATCCATTAGTACATCTATGGTGCAGTTTAATAAAAATGAGGACATTGGGCATCCCTGATGGACATTTGTGGTTATGAACACTTCAGATGGCAACTCTCAATAAGCTTTTACATGGCTGAGTTAGTTTTAGTAGAGTGGCTTTATTAGTGCAAGAAACTTTCTTACCGCTCCCTTTACACGCAAACATCACCACAACACCTCTGGATCGAATTCCACCTTCATGTCAAGAAATATGACAAATGTTTGGTCGCCGGTGAGTATACAGATTTTCTAGAATCTGTCGAAGGGTGAATATATATTCAGCATACCCTCTTCCTGGCCTAAAGTCTGCCTTTTTTCCCGGTACTGCTCAGTGTATGCCTGCTTAGTGAACCTGCAACTTCAGATAGTATATTCACCAAGTTAATCCCCGTATGATTATCACAGTGAGACCTGTTCTCCCTCTCATAAACAGAGACAATCAATCATGTACACCAGTATAATGAGAATATCTCGAACTCACAGGTATCGTCTAATACCTTAGTTAACCCAGACAACAATGCGTTACCACTGTTCTTAAACACCCCCTGGAGTCTTTCTACTGGGTCCTGCTTATTCACCTTGTTTCAGATTAGAGACAGCCTTTAAAACCTCAGTTACAGTTTGGGGACCAATGTCTACATCCGATTCGGCTAGGTGTTGGATGATAGGTAGGTTGAACGGAGCTGTAGACTAGTTGAACTACTTCTCGAAGCGTTCCTTCCAATCTTTCAGTCGTTTACCCTGAGAGGTGATTTCGGAGCCACTTTTCCCGGAGATTGTCTTGCTTATCATTTACCTTTTTCCGCCTGTTTCCTTAATAAGCCTAAGTAGTTATCAGGTGTTCAATCGTAGGCATAAACGTCCACGGACCAGGTGCGATCATAGTCTATGCACGTGCTCCAGTAAGGGAGACAATCTTTCGTCGACTCTCGGCAACGATTAGCTTATCGCTATGTAATTTGTTTGAATCCATCGTTGATTTGACGATTTAAGTCGCCACGTTAGGCTAGGCATTTCTGTGTGTTTGGAGTTGGTGCTTACCAGAAACAGATGACTGCCTGAAGAGAACTGTAGGAGACAGTCACGTTGTTAGTCCATCGGAATGGAACTCCGTACGTGCCACCAACACACTTCTCAGGCCGACACAGCTTTTCTACATGGGCAATGAAGCCGCTTGCTTGAACGATTATGTTTGAGAGTTTTGCTTTTAGCATAAAACTAGACAGTGTTTAATATAACTTATCTTTTATTTCGTCCGAACTGCAGTCGGCTGGAACGTGAGCGATTATGAAAGGAAATGCACGGGTATCGAAGTCCTTTCTTCTTCTATTGGATCTGTTCACATGGACAGCACATATACGAGTATGCACTGGGATCCAGTTGATTGCGGATTTTTCTGCCCTAGCACTCAGTGCTATCCCTACACGTGCAAGTCTTTGCGAACTAGCCGAAGAATCTCTTGATACTTGTACGGTGAATTTTTCAGATTTGCCCTGTTGAATAACCACACATGGGTATCCGAAAAACAACATACATCCATAGCTGGTGATGTCTGTTTTCCGATTTGTCAAAGGGTCCTGACGTTAAATGCCCTAATACGAGGTTGACAGCTTGACTTTAAGAGACTATTTGGAGTGTCTTTCCTACTGTCGTCGCTATTGGTTGCAGAATGAAGAGATAGGGGACCTGCCTGTACTAACAGGTGGAAATTAAGAGATGCAGGTGACGTATACAAAGGCAGTTGATGATCAGGAGAGCTTCATGTGCTTTAGGGAATGTGTGAACAGTTATCACTTCCCGAATGCCTTTACAGTCTAAGTTGATCATTTCTTGAGTTACCTAAAACTGAAAGAGAATTACTGTTGCCCGACCTCAGATCTCAGGGAAATAACTACATGGCCTTTCTGAATTGGATTTTAGAGTTGTATCCGTATGAGGAACTTACCACTGGCTTCGGATCGCCGTAGGATAAGCTGGGATGTACAATTGTCAGTGACAACCTTTTCTAAACCCACCGGCTGCGTATCTGGTATTTTGATCATCTGGATGAAACACCTTACTGCTGTTATATCTTAACAACTTTTCTTTCGTGGCACGACCTATATACACATTAGTTGTAGATAGTGTAGCTCGCCTGGTCATTGCGATATACAAACCCGACCACCTTATCGAGGTAACAGCCATCGTTTGGGACCCTCCAGCTAAGAATTCGGACTGTCCATTTCCGTTCCACTAGCCTTCACAGATTCCAAACACTTTTTGCTGTATCTTGTTATTTGTTGTCAAATCTGAGCAGCTTTGTTGGCATCAAAAATGGTGCAGATATCCCATGTCCCTATATGCTTATTTTTTGCTTTCATCGAAATAAGACACTCTGGTCGACTGGCTTCCCTAGGACTTTCACCTGCTGGTGTCATCTTGCCTCCTTGTTTACAGTGAAGAATAAGTTTATTCTTTATATTCTTCTGCTTGCTCTGTATAGTATAGTATAGTAGCTAGGGTGATTTTCCTTGGTAGTTTTGCTAGCTGCATGCCCAACTTTCCCTCCTTTTCCTAGCTTATAACCGGTTGCTAAACTAGAAAACTAGTAATTTATTTATATTTTCCCTCTTCACTAATACCTTTGAGATTATATTTATCCATCCAGTTATTTATTTTTCAACTAAATGAAGTATATCTTTGTATGATATTTACAGAAGGAGAAAAATGGTTATACTTTTCTAATACTTATCTACTTTTAGGGAAATTTCAAGTACTCGATTGTCTGCTAGCTGTGATTAAAGCGACTACATCAGATAAAGTTGTACTTATTTCAAATTACACTCAGACACTTGATCTTTTTGAACGTTTATGCTGTCAAAGAGGGTAGGTTTTTGTTTTAAGTTTTCCTAATATTTTCTTACTCCCGAATTCTATCTGATTGATTTTATTTTTCGCAGTTATATGAGTAAGTGTAGATTAACGTCAGTTCGGTCGTTTCACAACATCTTTAGATTATACTTTCCATTGAATGTTGATCTAACGATTGTAGTGGAAATGTAAAAGTTGTTCTTTATTTATATGATATCAGTAGTTGTTCGTCTCGTTAGCTGCATACTTCAGCGTATGGAGAAAAACTACGTAAAATTCACTGATTTCGAAGGTACTCAGCAATCCAGTTATTATTTGTGTACTATGACATCATTTGCTTTCTGGTTGATATAATTAATTTTATAGTTATTTGTGAGTTTAACCAACTTTTTCTCTCTTTAATTTCATGAAATATAACCATAAAAATGCTATAAGAATAAAGTCACTGGACTCCTAAAATGGTTGAATTTCCAAATAGATTAGTTTATTTGATGAATTACCAACTGATGCAATAACATTTATTTCATAGCTTTTTTCATAAAAATTAATTTGAGAAGTAAGTATGTGATCCGATTGTCCGGAATGTATTATGCGAATTCATTACATGTTTCAGACAGACTGTGTTGTAAAAATACCACCAGTCTTGTTTTATACCCTGTCCGTAACAAGCGTGTTGACCGCTTAGCTTATTTTGGGAGTTGCATCAGCCCCAACGGGTTGATCGCTGACAAAATCTCAGCACGGATACAGAAAGCTCGTTTGGCATATTCCAGTTTATGCCACCTCTGGCTTAGTAGACGTGATACCCAGCTGGTTGTCAACCAAAGGGCGTGTGTACTGCTCAACAGTCCTCTCCGTCCTCCTTTATGGTTATGAAACCTGGCCATTGAGACTGGAAGACATGAGAAGACCGGCTAGCTGTCTTTGATTATAGGTGCCTGCGTTCTATGTCTGGTGTTAAGTGGTATATTGAGGTGAGGCATGGGAAGAGTGCCAGATAAGGAGGGGAAATCACTCGACGAGGTTGTGAAGTTACATCGATTGAGATGGTTAGGACATGTGTTACGCATGCCCAGCCATCACCTTTCTCGACAATGCGCCATGTTAGCTGCCATAGGATAGATCAGGTTGGAAAAAAGTTAACTAGTATCGGACAAACCAAAAAATAGAATCAGTCAATGAAATCCACAACAGTTAGTTTAAACCACATGGGGAGGTGCAGACTTCCTGTTTGGAGTCCTCTGAATGGTGAAAACCAATGAAAGTTGGAGGCAATCGGTGATATGGCTCAAAATCGTTTTTAATAGCTGGTGTAGATCCATTCACTCTTTGTGATTTATAATATCCAATAAAACTATATTGTTCTTCCATTCTACTATTCTTTTTCTCTCATATCTCTCTTTGCTCTCTTCTCTTGCTTTGTGTTCTAAATGGAGGTAGTGTGGCAACTCGAACTGCTGCACATCTGTGCAAAGTTCTACGTTGAAACCAGTCAGTTAGCTGGAAACAACTACATTTATTCCTTTGCGGAAAATTTTCATTCCTAAAACGTTTGCGATAATGAGAAGTTTCTGACCATAAAAACATGTTTTCTTCAGTTATTTTCTTTATGTTATGCGAGAATGAATGCTAAGGTTTACTTGCAGACTCAGGGGGCAGATCCGATCTTTATAATCTGAACAACTTACAACTATTTCGAACCTGCTGTATTGATGCTATGTGCATCTAAATCAATCTTTGAAGACAAACCCAATGACTAACAAAATCTATTGATTAGTTGAATATAACATTCTACTGTTAATGTATTGCGAAATATATTTTTCAAGTAACTGCTTTCACTTCGTCAGTGAACTAAATTTTCTCAGCTTACATAAGCCCGAATTCCTGCTGACATGTCATTTCTGAAATCTTCACAAAGGAAAAGAAATTATTCATGGTAAAGTATTAATCAGATTCATCTGTGTGTTGCTGTTTCAGACTGAATTTCCTTTTCGGGAAAATGTATGGTGATTACTGCAGATTTTTAAACTATCTGGCTAACATTTAGTAAAGATAAGTTTATTTTTGTGATTTTAGATATAATTATGTGCGACTGGATGGCACAATGACAATAAAAAAGCGAGCAAAAGTTGTTGAACGTTTCAATGATCCAACCGTAAGTAAAGGTTGTGTAACTGAGTTAAGATTTACGTATAAATATTTTACTCACCACAGTTGTCTATAAGTTGCCATCTACTCCATTTTACTGTTGGACTCCCAACTTGTTGTTTTCAATTCGAGTTCCACTCGAGGATATGTCTAGCGCGCCATATCATTCGGCGATCTCCTCATCAAGTGTGCGATCCACTTATTATTATTATATTTGTTGAGTAATAGGCTGTTGACAAATCCTTTCTGGCCTTGTGATCTTCAGTATGGAGCTAGTGAAGGCAGCTGTTGTTGAAAGTCTGAAGCCTATTCGAAATGCATTTACTGACTCGTCAAGTCTCCGAACCTTATAGAAGTACTAATTTAACAGTGTTGAAAACCTGAATCTTGTTACTTATGATTAGTGCAGCGGACTTCCAGAATGATTTCAGTGCAATGAAGATCTATCTCTCCTTTCTGATCCTGCCTGGTCTTGACATCCTCATCCGTGCCACCTGTATTTGAAACGATGCTGCCTAGGTAGGTGACAGAAGTGACCTCCTTCGAATGTTTCCCTTTGATAACGATTGGTGCCTGTTACTGTTGTTGATTGGTTATCTTTATCACCTCCATCTTCTCTGTGTTCACTTGAAGTCCTGTTTTCGCCACCAACCTCACCAGTCAACTTGTTGGTTTTTGCCTATAAATCCACGAGTTCGTGTGGCAGTAGACAAATCGTTCTCGAAGTCCTAATCTCGTAGAGTTTTCTTGTCGACCTGACGTATTCGTGTCGTTTCGCATCCCACAGCCTGCCTCATGATCCAGTCTACCACAATCAGGAATATCGTCGGTGTTAGTATGGAGCCTTGACTCACTCCTATCTTTACTGGAAAGGTTTCACTGAGTTTTTCTGTGTGAATCACTTGACATGTGGCATCATCACATGGCTGTTGAATAAGATTGATAAAGTTTAGGGGCCACCCGTAGTGTTGAAGTAGTTTCCAAATTACTTCGCAGTCAACGCTGTCGAAGGCTGTTTTGAAATCGACGAAGCTGACTGCCATTCTATACTTTGTTCGATCGTAATATGTAGGGTTGTAATTTGGTCAGCACATGATTTGCTCTTGCTGAATCTAGCTTGTTCCAGTTGGAGTTCTGCATTCAGAGAATCTTTTAGTCTGTCCAGAATGACGCAAATTGATATTTGGTTTGATGTAGACAGAAGCATTATTCCGTACCATTTCTTTCAGAGGCCTTTGGTAGTTCGACAAGGTTGCCATTCTTCCAATCAGTAGGCAGTCTTCCTCCTAAAATTTCTTCAGTATTGAGATGATCATGTCCATATGGGTCTCTGGACCCATATTCAGTGATTACGGAGGAACTCGATCTGATCCTACTGCCTTCCCGTCGGGATCTGAGTAACTTCATGGCATCTATGACTTCTGATTTTGTTAAAGGATTGGTTTTCACTAACAGTTATGTGGTTGTTGTTGTTATTTCCTGGAGAGTTGTATGTTTTGGTTGGTTTAAGTTTTTTCAAGTGATCAGCCACCAAATCATTGAGAAGAAGAGCTCTCCGTCTTCATTCAGTCCAACAAGAGCCTGTCGACCCATCATGAGTTTCCTTCCTGTACAAGTTTTGAAGGTCGTATGGTAGGCCTTCTAGTGGAATCACTTTACTTTAACTCATTGATTGTATTCCTTTGTTTTGTATTTATTTGTTTCACTAGTTGTGCTGTGTGGTACGATTTTTTATGAATCCTATCTTTATTCCTCACTTTTTAGTCACAAGATTTTGTTTTCATGCTAAGCAGTAAAGCTGGAGGTTGTGGACTTAATTTGATTGGTGCAAATCGGCTTGTAATGTTTGATCCTGATTGGAATCCAGCCAATGACGATCAAGCGATGGCACGTGTCTGGCGTGATGGTCAAAAGAAACAGTGTTATATATACCGGCTTATATCGGTGAGTAAATAAAACATCCTGATGTAAAATACTTGTATCGAAGGAAATCTATTTAACGACACATATCTTGTTGTTCAGGTTACGCATTTAACACCCTGTCCTTCATTCATATTTATTGGATGATATACTGAAATCCTATTTACAATGTGTTTTGCAATCGGAAAATTCGTGTTCAACACACCTCTATTTTGGCTATAGCATAATCAGATGATGAATATAAATTGTGCAATTAGTAATAATATTAGTGATAATAATAATGGTTTTATCAATAATAAGGATGAATAAGTGAGGTAATCTGTGATAACACGAGTAACGAAAAACAGCATGATTAATCAAACATATGTTCAGGTAGAAGTAGTCGATAAAGGCTAAGCAAAACAAATGAACCGATTAAGTAATGCTAGATTGTAAGGGAAGTAAATGAAACACGTTTTTTGACATCTATGTGCATTTATCAATTCAACTGCACCTGCGGTGACAGTTATTTTGGGCGTACTACTAGACAGCTTAGCCAGCGTGTTAGTGAACATCTCCCATCGTGGTTTGGTAAAAGGCAGACAAAAACAGTCTGTAGCTCAATTTTGTCACATTTATTTGATAGTGGTCATGTAGTGGAGAAAACGAGAGCTTTCAAAGTAATTCATCGTATCCCACCGAATCTTTCCAGTAGACTTCATATTCGTCTACTGCACACAGCTGAGGTGATAGACATTCGAACTATTCAGCCTAAAGTATGCATTCAAAAGAAGTTCGTACAGCCATTATCCCTCCCTTAGCCTATTAAGACATAACCAACTGATGACTTCTCCACCACCCCTTACTTATATTTTCAACCCCTCTCTTATCATCCCTTTAATCTTATCACATCTTCATTAAAAACGTGTCTCATATACTTCCCTTACAATCTAGCATTACATAATCGGTTCATTTGTTTTTCCTAGCCTTTACCGACTACTTTTACCTGAACATTTGTTTGTTTAATCATGCTGTTTTTCGTTATTCGTGCTGTCACAGATTGCCTCACTTTTACAACTCTATTTTATCGTCGGTGTCTTTGAGTGGTTTGAACTGATTCAGCTCTCTGAGCTGAGTCAGACCAAGTGCACCGCTGATGATGAGCTCGGTCGTAAATGTGCGAAACGGCCGCTTGGTGTTTAGATCACCTCAATCTGGCTAGCAAGCTCTGCTGTTTGACATGAGTGGCATGTAACCATTCGTCCGAATCAATTACTAGTAAATAGTTCAACGCAAATCCGCATGCTTTCTTGATTACCATCTATGGCATTAAGCAAATCAAATACTGTGGTCTGAATAATCTGGTTATCAAAGGAAACTGCGGTAAAATTCCACCCCTTGAACTGTGTGTACTACAAATTGTGAATTTGATTAATCTCTGGTATGAATTCACTAAAAGCACAATTGTATTATTTGTTCAACGTTTATTTTTCTTATATCTAATGGCAAACGAAGCTAATTATAACAGGCTAACTTATTTACCGTATATTTTACGCAACTAACTTCGTCTATATCATTTCACAGTATTGATAAATGCTCGTTTATTTTTGTTTTTAAAACTATGCTTGGGTACTTTTATCGTTTTCATTTGTGCATCATTTCTGTGTTTTATATGTTATGTCATCTTTGGCTGTTGTAGTATTTCACTCTAAGAACTGCATACTTCCTTGTTTGCTGACTAATTTTTCATGAAGCTGTGTAGCCCAAACGTTCACATCTGAACATTGAATCGTGAAAGTGACTTCGTAATTACTGCTATCGAATTTCTGCCATCTCAAAATTGAAATCTATGTTGATGAAAAAACTTATTACTATTATTTGTCTAATCATATGTCAAAATTCCCTTCCATTTTAGTTAATACTATGCACAGTGGAGAAAGAAAATCATTTTTTATGGATTACTTTCAGTAACATTTCAGAATGGAGGCGTCTGATTTTTGATCAGATTGACTGAGTCAGTTGGAGTATGTAGCCTCAGACATTGTGTACTCATCTCAGCATTCCGTGTTTATTTGGGGGACAAAATTAGTGTCATTTGTGCAAATAGGCAAAGCTACCGAATTCATCATTTGAAATATTTCATTGAGTATATAGCATTGCTGTTGAATTATGAAACATTTGTAGTGTTTTATCCGGCACTTTTAGGTACACTCGTGATTCCTAATGATGGATATGATAAACATTATTGCTGGATGTGTTATAGCTCTATGGAATTAACTCTACTCACAGACGTCGCTCACTGGCCTAAGCACTCGACTTTCAGGCGATAGTCCCAGTTTTAATTCCATTCTGAATATTTCAGCCTTGGTGATTGGATGGCATCATCACGCTATACGCCATAGATGTGGTTCATAGTCTGGTGTATGAAAAATCTATTTTAGGTAACTGAGTGTGTTTTAAGGAAATCGGTCTCTCAACCAATGCAATAAGGCTAGCCATCCATGAAGGAATCAGATCAAATTAATGAAGACAACTGTCGCTATGTATAGTATATATTCATTACGATTGTTTAATCGTGTTTTTACTCATTATCTAATTTAATCTGTTTAGGCAGTTAGATTGTAGTACTATTTCCCACGTAAAAGTTTAAACTTATAGCCTAATTTATAGGGTTGTGCATTGTCACTGGATTACGGACTCATCTTTATTCATACTGTGATGAATGTTATGAATTGGAATCATGTTTATCTGCAAGTATGAAGTCACCTAGTATTTTGGCTTATTACTGAATGTGTAAGCCATATGTAGGCTTTATAAGTGTGAAACATCTAAACTTTCCAAAGTTTTTCATTTCTAACAGTACTTGGAATTTTGCTTATAACTTATTTCGTTCAAAGAGCATGCTTCTGACGTTTCTACATAATGCATAAGATTCACAGATTTGTGTAAACCATCAATTAATGCAGTTCTTTTTTGTGTTATGTACTTTGAGAGGATTAATTAATTAATATAATTGCATAACGTTGTACAGAACTCCCTTGACTCGGTGATTTCCGGAAATATCAATGGAGTAACTACTAGGTAATGTGCTTTCTTATGATTGGTTCTATTTTCTCGATAAAATGAAGTACTCCACACTAACTTTTATAGCATACTTAAATGCCCCAGGTTTTATTTATAGTAGTAATATTGGTTTCTGATTGTTTCCAGACTGGCACCATTGAAGAGAAAATGCTGCAACGTCAAGCTCATAAGAAAGCTCTTAGCAGTTGTGTAGTTGATCAACAGGAGGAAGTCGAGCGTCACTTTAGTCTGGGTGACCTAAGAGAACTTTTTATGTATCATACCGAAACATTGTCGGATACACATGATAGGTGGGTTCTACTTATGTTCTAAGTTCTCTAAACAATATAACAATTTTTACTCTAATGTTCTGTTTTTCAAATCATGCTTTGTTACTTAGTTGTGCCTAACTCATTGTTTAGGAATATTGAACTTAGTCAACTACAAAATGTTTTCATTCTTTGTGCCTCAAGTGGGACTTAAGGCTTTTTAAGTTTTAACCACGGCGGAGTCGCTAGTCCGTGCGTGGTTCACGGGCTTGGATCACCGATGCACTTCCAGTGTGTTTATATAAGTATTTATGTTTTAAGCGCTGTGCTGTTGCTTTCTATATCTACCAGTAACAATAATAAAGACTTCTTTTGACTAGCTTTCAAGACTTTTATCAACAAGCTGTCTAAATAATGTAGTTGGAACGCTGTCACTTTTAAAATTTAAACTACTATACTAACAGAGGCTTTGTCCGGATAATATGATTGAAATAGAGGCTTTCAACGGTGACAATGTTTCAGAATAAGTTATCTCTTCCTAGTAAAATATTTTTCAATGTATATCAGAATAGTAAATAAGGTCGACTAAATAAGTTAATGTCTGTGTTGAGAAACTTATTCAACGGCCATTTGTTTTTAAATACAATAATGTAATACTTTTTCACATACATTTCTTTAGATTTAAATGTCGTCGTTGCGTAAATTCAGTCCAGATAAAGCCACCACCGGAAGGGACAGATTGTAATTCAGATTTTTCACAATGGAATCATTGCTACGGGAAGAAAACACTGAACGATGCGGTCTTAAAAACAACTTGGGATACTGGTTGCATATCATTTGTTTTTTGGCATTATTCACATGAAGAACAACGTATAACGGTTTAACCGTTTCCTTTGGACAATAAACGCCTTTTACTTACTTTTGTATTATTAATAAGATAAAATTTCTTAAAACGTATTTATTTACAGCATAGAATTGTGGATATTCATTTTGCGTACTGTTATGATCACGTTTATTTATTTTTTTGACACAATACAAAATAAATTATTCAAGTTTTCTGGCGAGGATTGTTTAATTGGGATTAATTTCAGGAAACGTTTTCCATTGTAAACTCAACCGTTGAAAAAATTTTTTTCAATGAGAAGTAACAGTGTGAAATAAGATGAGTCGGTTTTCTAGATATTTTATCAGATTCCAACAGTATAAGTTTCTGATGAATATTTAAATTAATTAGTGACTGGCGTTAATTTAAAAGTTTAGCAAACAGGATACAGGGGATGAATGAAACTATTATTATATTATTATTGTTCCCTTGGGTTCCTAGTGGAACATAGGGCTTCAACTGCACGTCTCCACTTGCTTCTCTCTTGTGCTGTACTTTTCACTTGCGTCCATGTTATTCCATACTGTTTCATCTCCTCCTCACACGATCTCCTCCATGTCACCCTTGGACGTCCCACTCGCCGCTTCCCTTTCGGGTTCCACTCGAGGGCCTGACGCGCGATGTCACTCAACGGCCTCCTCAGGGAGTGTCCAATCCATCTCCACTTCCTCCTGCATATTTGTTGGGCGATTGGTTCCTGTTTCGTTTGTTCCCATAGTCTCTTGTTGGTTATTCTTTCCGGCCATCTAATCTTCAGTATGGAACGAAGACAGTTGTTGATAAAGGTCTGCAACCTGTTGAAAATACTCTTGGTGACCCGCCAAGTTTCTGATCCGTAAAGCAAAATTGACTTCACGTTTGTATTGAAAATCCGAATTTTGTTGTTGATGCTGAGTGTCGAAGATTTCCAGATTGGTTTCAAGTTGATGAATGTGTTTCTCGCCTTCCCGATTCTCGATTTGACATCCTCGTCCGTTCCTCCTGTGGTTGAGACAATGCTCCCCAGATAAGTGAAAGAAGTAACCTCTTTCAAATCCCTCCCGTTGATGGTGATTGGCACTGGATGTTGCTGCTGCTGTTGTTGTTGTTGGTTATTTTCATGACCTCCGTCTTGTCTATGTTCACCTGGAGTCCTGTCTTCGCTACTTCTTCGACCAGTTTGTCGGTTTTCGCTTGTAAGTCTTCGATTTTGTGTGACATCAAACATAAATCATCCGCAAAATCCAGGTCTTCTAGGTTCTTCACGTCGGTCCAGGATATCCCTGTCTTCTCGTTTCCCACTGTCTGACGCATAATCCAGTCCACCACAATTAGGAATATCATTGGTGATAATAAGCACCCTTGTCTGACTCCTGTGTTTACTCCAAACGCCTCGCTGAGTTTTCCGTTGTGGATCACTTGACATGTGCCGTTGTTGTACAGTTGTTGAGTAAGGTTGATGAATATTTGGGGTACGCCGTAGTACTCGAGTAGTTTCCAAATTACTTCGCGGTCAACGCTGTCGAAGGCCTTCTCAAAGTCTATGAAGTTGAGGTAGAGATTTGATTGCCATTCCATGCTTTGTTCGATGATAATGCGTAGAGTTGCAATTTGGTCAGAACATGATTTGCCTTTTCTGAATCCAGCTTGTTCTGGTCGGAGTTCTGTATCCAGTGCGTCCTTGATTCTCTCCAGGATGATGCGACTCAGGATTTTACTTGGCGTCGACAGGAGCATGATTCCTCGCCAGTTCTTGCAGAGTCCTAGGTCGCCCTTCTTTGGTAGTTTCACCAGGTAACCTTTCCTCCAGTCAGTAGGCACCTTTCCCTCTTTCCATATCTTTTGCAATAATGGAGTCAGCATATCTGCCGTCGTTTCTGAGTCCGCTTTCAGTGCTTCCGGGGGTATTCCATCTGGTCCAGCTGCTTTTCCAGCTTTCAGAAGCTTGATTGCATTCATGACTTCACTTTTCGTTGGGGGATTGGTGTCAACTTGCAGTTGTGTACGTGCTGTTGTTGGTATTACTGGACGGGTTGTAGGTGGTGGTCGATTCAAGAGTCCTTTGAAGTGGTCCGCCCACTGTTTAATCTGTCTTTCTTCTTCGGTAATTGGGTTCCCTCGGCTGTCTTTTATAGGTTTCACTTGTGTTGATCTCTTCCCGGATAGAGACTTGGTTATCTGATATAGTGTTTTCAGGTCCGTTTTGCCTGCTGCCTTCTCAGCTTCAGTAGCCAGGTTGTCGTAGAATTGTCTTTTGTCCTTCCTGGCACTCTTCTTCACTTCTTTGTCCAGTGCTGTGTAAGTTGAGTTCAGCGTCTCTTTCTCTTGTCCATCTTTGCATTGAATCATTTTTTCTTTCACCTTTCTCCTCTCCTCTATTAGCTTCCAAGTGTCCGTTGAGAGCCATTCCTTGTCTTGTTTCTTCTTTCTTCCTAAAACCGTTGAGCACGTTTCGTTGAAAATTACCTTCAGAGAGTTCCAATGGTCTTCCACGGATGATTCCTCAGTGGTGCCACGTAGTGTTTCCTGCTTTGCTCTGACCGTCGCAGTGAAAATGTCCTGTGTGATTGTGTCCTTCAGTTTGTGAGTGTTGAACTTGCATTGTGGCCTATCCCCAGGTATCCTCGAGGCTTTCAGCTTCACCTTGAAAGTCCCTTGTACTAGATAGTGGTCTGAACCCACATCTGCTCCTCTCCTCGATCTTGTGTCCAGTAGGCTCCGTCTCCACTTCCTTGAGATTGAAATGAAGTCTATCTGGTTTTTGGTGTGTCCATCTGGTGAAATCCATGTTGCCTTGTGTATATCCCTGTGTTTGAACACACTGCCCCCAATCACCAAATCATTGAAGGCGCAGAAGTCTGAGAAGAGTTCACCATTTTCGTTCATTTCACCGAGGGCCTCACGACCCATGGTGAGTTCTCTTCCTGTATTGTCTCCTCCCAGCTTCCCATTCATGTCACCCATCAGGATTTTGATATCGCTCTTTGGGACGTTGTCCATTACTGTTTGTAGTTGACTGTAGAAATTCTCCTTCTTTTCATGTTCTGAAGCGTTTGTAGGCGCGTAGCACTGAATGATTGTAACCTTTTTTCCTTTTGAGTTGAACCTGGCTGTCATTATCCTGGAGGAGATTGGTTCCCACTGCATGAGAGCTTTAGCCGCTGTTGGTGACATCATGATGGCTACTCCCTCGGTGTGCTCGTGATTGTCCTCTGGGTGACCGGAGTAGATTATTGTCTCTCCAGTTGATAGTTGGCTCCTTCCACATCCATTCCATCTGCTCTCGCAGATTCCCAAGACTTCTATTTTATATCTCCTCATTTCTGCGGCTACCTGAGCAGCCTTCCCAGCTTCGTACATTGTACGAACATTCCACGTCCCCATCCTTATTTTCGCTTTCATCGAAAGAAGGCACATCGGCTGACTGGCTTCCCGAAGGCTTTCACCAGCCCGCGTCATTTCACTTCCCCGATTCCAGCGAAAAATAAGGTCACTATTTGTAATTTTAGAATTTTGAATATATTTGTGCGTTGAAGTTTTAGTAGCAATTTGGTTAAGTTTTGGGGGTGGAGTTGCTAGCACCACGCCCCAACCCTCCCTCTTTATCCGGGCTTGGGACCGGCTAGAATACTATACTAGGATAAAATAATCGAGAAGAGTAGTAGCAGTAAAGTTCAGTGAGTAAATGGAGATTCACTGGATCTATGTAAGGCGATTTCATTAAAAAAGAATTTCGAATATAGTTGCAGCTATTATGTCACTGAAAAATGTATGCGATCTCCTTTTCATTTAAAAAGTCCCATTAAAATACAAATGGTTCACCTAGGAAAACTCTCCTTTCGACGATTTCAATTTAATAACGCTACAATCGTATATATATTAAATACAACAGACAATAACAGTCAGTTTTCTTGATTGTGTATATTAAAGTTTGACAGTTAGTGGAAATACTAAAGTTTGATAACACTGGTGTATATGATTGCGAGTCACAAATTGATTAGATTTAGGAATGAATTTCTTCGCCGAATTCTTGGTTTTATGTCTCCATTGGGATTATTAATTTAAACTCTGATCAGGAAAGCAACAGATTGAGCAAAGAAATATATTCCTTTTTTACTTAGGCTCTCGACAACAGTTCCACATTATTATGTGCAGTTTTGCATCATAATTGTATGAATACATTTCAAATATATGTGCATCATAGAGGGGGTCTAGTTGGTGCATTGGGTGGTATTTCCCAATCTTTACTATACTCATCTGCACTTAGTGGATTACTTCATCCTGCTGATTTGTCGGTGTAACGGTGTTCACTTCCGGTAGATATTGTTTCAAAACCTATTAGGTACTTTACTAAGGCCGGATAAATATATGTAGAGCATTATTTGACCTCGTGATGACATCATCTTGGTCATCCAACAAAGGTATTTGCCTAACTATATTTAAAGGTCAAGCATAAGCTAGCCAACGTAACAAAATGCTATGCCGATTATATCTCCACGATTATTAAACTATAGCATTCTTCACTCAACATTAGATGCTGACTTTCGCTGTTTAAGTTAACTTGTTAGGTTGAAAGTTCGAGATCAAGCATCTATACTATTTGACCCACTGTTCTGTTACGTTCGTGTACGATCCCTGGCTAACTAAGTAGTCAACATAGCACTACGATTCTGATCCTGAAGTTTATCTCGAATTCCAGATGACTAGTTTGATGTTTTGACTTGTCCTTTGGTCTAAGCAGGACAAGCATTTCAATATTCACGGGATGAATTCTTACCTTTTATACGGCGTATCATGCGTAAACGTCGACATCCCTTAATCTCCTAAAGTAACAATGATTGAATGAGTGTTCCCTACGAAACTGTTTCAAAAGACGATTAAAGTTAATATACGGTGTTGAATGACTTTGTGATAATAGCCTTTTGAATGCATGAAGTGTCAGTGGACAAAGTGAATGCCAAGAATTGTGTTGTAACTAGTGACATATATCCTACACGCCTCATGGTGGAGCTGAAATTCGATGTAAGTAATGGGCATGAAACGGACTGTGAAAAATACAGTTGTGTCTAGGGACGATGTGAGGAAACAATTTGACTTGTTACATCCTTTGAATTTGACAAAGGGGAATTGAATCAGCCCAAACTCTAGTTGGTCACTGGGTAGACTGGCAAAACATTGAATCAAGTTTACAATTTG